AAAAAAAAACAAAGTGAGGGTTTGTGAAATATGTAGAAAAATCCACCACACGTAGCTGAATCAACCACCGCGAAATGCGCTTCGATATCTAAATCAGAAAACAATTTATAGTTGGAATTGAACATTAAAATACCTGCAGAATTGAGTGAAAATCGGGGACTTTGATCCCCTGTATCTCGAAAACCCTGTATCACTCCGGAAGCCCCGGAGTGTCTCGGGACCATGTGCATTCGATGGTCCGGCCTAAATGACCCGATAATCATTACCCATGACGGCACAGGTTTTTTCACGCCAAAATTGGGGGAAAATCGGCCCAAAGCACCCCTAAAATCCAAAAAAAGGCCCATTTTTCGGTCAATGAAGCTTCGGACCGATTCAGGACCCTGCTCAATCGATTCCTGGTCCAAAAATACGTAGAGTCCATTGCACATGTACCATTTTACATATGCACAACCCATCGGAATTTAATCATCGATCGTCTTTGAAGGCCATTTTAGGCCAAAAACACAAAAATCGATTTTATTTTCGAAGAGCTCGACAGAATATTTTCATTTTAGGCTTTAATGACTATGTGTGCATCCTACTTCAAGATCCCGAAGGAATTTTGAGTGGGCAACACAATTTCATTTACCTCCCTTTGAAACGAACCGTGGCCTTATTCCGGCATTGGCAAGTTCATCCGAAATTTTTCCCGCGCGCTACAGCGTTGCCAAGTTGAAAACAGGCAAAATCCGTAAGTGACATTAAAATTGAGCTATGAAGTTGCGGTTTTCACGAAAATTCTCTAAAAATTGCGCACTTTTAGAAATCGACCATTTTTAATGTCGCATTAATTTTAACATGCATTATTGCCAATTTTTCGATTTTTAAATTCGACAAATTTTAAAAATCTACAAGTACCCAAAAAAGCTATCTTCAAATTTGAATAAAAAGTTGTCTAATCGATCGTTCGTTTAATGCCTCATCCATCAATATATTATAGCTTGCAGGGAAACTTTTGGTTTGAGAGATATCATTTTTGTAAACAACTTTATGGAGCGACAACGCTTTTTTAGTCCGGGCAGATGGAAATTTGAGCTTCCAAAAACACTGGGTGGCATTAGTTCCATGGTTTCCTATGTAATTTTTGGCGCTGAATCCGAATTTGACCATTCCATAAAAAAATTGTTGCCAAGAAGTTGCCAAATTTGGCAAAAATGGCTTAAAATCGGCCTTTTTTGCGGATTATGGCCAGTGACTTGCCAGGAGTTGATCAGACAACAAAATTGGTTATTTCCACAGTTAAAATTCGTTAGACTTTCTACGAGCTGAGTCAAATTCTTTCTGCTCTCGGCAAAATTAAACGCGTGACAAGCAGCAAACTGAAAAAAAACCACCAAAATCGGCGATTTTTGCGGTTTTTGTCCTACATGCCTTGTTGTCCAATTAAGAGAATGTTTCTTGACTGAACTAATGAACAACATAAGCAGAAATTAATAAAATTGAACAATTAAAATCGAACATATTCTAATGTTGCCGAGCTTAAACAAAATACTTGAATTTTCGCTGGTTTTTTCGATATTTGTCCTATGTTCTTTGTTCACTTCTTATTTTTAAATTTTATAAATGTATCTCTCGTGCAAAATAATACACTTCTGTAGAATAATTTAATTTTCAACTTGGATGCATACGAATAACTGGGGTATTTAGTCCAGAGAGGAAAAATTCATAAAACAGTGAGTTTTTTTTAATCATGTCAATAAATCAAGTTTTGAAACAATAATGGAGAACTTTCTGCTGAAAATTAATGAATAAAATGTACTCTTCAGACTGACTTCATTAAAACAAGACAAGACGCATTGCAATATTGCCAAAATGACGTACAATTGTTGAATTTTGGCGGTATTTGACCATTATCATTCATCGCTCTAAATTCAGTATACAATTTTATTTTATA